AACCTGCATGCCTCAGCACCCTCTGCCACTCAGCACTGGCTGGCCCAAGCCAAGCAGTCCTGCATGGTCCTGCACTGTCCATCAGTCCTGGCGTTACGTACACACCCAGAGAAACACTGCTGAAGAAAGCAACACCTGAGCATCCTTAGCCAACACTTGTGATTTATCTCAAAGAACCTGGAAACAAGCAAGTGGTGGAGTTTTGGTTTTTTTCCAGCTTGGAAATTATGGCTTTTAACCCATTGTCAAAGGCAAGATGTTTGCGTGGGTGTTTTAGATATACTTTTTTCTTTAAAAGTATATATATGTGTATGATTATATATATGTATTATCATATATTTTTATATATATGGATACAGACACTCATATATATGTGTGTATACGTATAACACACACAGATATCCATATTTTATACATACGCACATAGATTATCTTGACCATCTATTTTCATAAACAGACTTTTTCATTCTCTTACTCATATTGGCAAGGAATGTGCACGTCTCCATTAAGTCTGTATGGATAGGGAGAGGGTAGGAGGAAAGTATGTGTGTATGTATATAAATACATATTTTGTACGCAGTCTCAGCTGACTTCCCTAGCCACTCCTCTATACAGAAACCCTTATCTACCAGCAGGTGCCCTTGCTTGTATCCTACATAAATGCTACAGCCACCCATTACCATAGTACTAGGTCAGCAGCATTCAGCTCTTCTTTCCCCATGAACTGATGCTAAATTCCTTGCAGCAAAGCAGAACAATGCTGAAGGTACTACATGGACTGCTTGCAGCTGCTCACTTTCTGAATGAAGCCTCCTCTTCTGGCAAGGTTTTCAGTAAGTGTAGTTCCATGGAATGCTGGTAATTTATCATCAGCTATAGCTTCACAGCAGGGACACTAGGTATCCCTCAACAAACTAGCACAGTCTAATCTGGCCTTCTTTCACCTAAGTGAAACTGTAAATGTTCCTTCAGCGTGCTCCTGCCCAGGCTGGCAGCAAGCACAGCCATTTTATACACATCCATGTGATGTTTTAAATGCTCCTCCCAAATCCCCAGTCTATCCTTTACAACCCCAAAGGTGCCTTGGGAGAAGCAGCACCTCCTGTACAACCAAAAAGTATCACCCAGGATGGTTCATGTGGAACCAAAGTAGCCGCAAGACAGAAGAGTGATAGAAAGCACCCAAGCGAGGATTACAGCATATGCTACACCTGCACATAAAACACCTTTAAAAAAAAAAAACAACCCTATCACCTAGTTCCATACTACAAACTCACTCTCTGCTTGTGAAAAATGTTTTGGTGAGAAAAATAAAATTACTTTAAAAATTATGACGGGACTGAATTTCAGACAATGAGGAAATTCAATCTATTAATCATTGAGTTAATCTATTTATTCACCTTGAAAAAAACCTGATCAGGAGAAAGTCTATTAAAAGAATACAGGGATTCAGCTGCCACCTTCCTCACTGCGTAAGCAATCAGAAGATGCCCCTTTGAACCCTGTGTTAATGAAATTCTCATTAAAGGCAAACCTGCACAATTTTATCCTGAAGAGACTCGTTAGCTTAAAAAAATTACTTGCCTCAAAACGTGCTTATTTCCTCACAGGTGAGAAGGTGAGTTTTCAAACCACTAACTGCTGCAGCTTCTATTTCAACCCCATCGGTGCTGCAGCTGCATCTTGCAGTCCGTCATGTCTCAATTATTTACATAACCCACAGATACAAATCCATAGACAGACATTATAATCACTATTATGGGATAGGACAGCAATAGGGATCACTCATTCCAGTATGGTATGGAAGATTTCAGCTAGATGAGGTTATTATTATTCTGTCTTCTTCAAATTTTTATTTTCTTTAGGTTGGACAGAAATTATGAATCATCTGTAAAAAGGAGAGGTATAGAGAGAAGGTAGGAATAGCCTTCCTGTCTCACAATACTCAGAACATTCGTGACTGCTCTTTTCACTGGGGTAAGGTCTAGAAAAATCAGATAATATGCAACAACAAAACTTCATCAGACTGCCTAGTGAAGAATACAGTCTAACTAAAAAGTACAGTTCATATGATAATAGGATACACAAAGTGGGATCTTTGCGGCTCAGTTTAAACAAAGATGTGTCAAAGATTCTCTATGTATTACTCATCCTGACTCTGTATTAAAGCAATTAACCAGATGACCTTGCCAATCCAGCAATGTGGGGTACAAGCAGGACTGGTTTGTGTTTACAGTTATTCCTGTAACACAAATGCATTGCAGCCTTGAAGAGTTGTAAACAACTCACCACTCCTCTTCAGGCAAAAATATATGTAAGACTGTATGCCAGGATTTAAGACACTTGTTAAAGCTCACCAAATGCATGCACACAGAGATGTTTTTACATTTATAATCTTTCCTACCAAAAACCTTAGGAAAAGGAAATGACAGTTTTCATCTATTTATTTTGAAGTAGCTGTTGGAATGAGATGAAGGTACAAACTGAAGTGTGACTTTGCACGGCACTGTTACCAGCAAAAAGCAGGTAATCCTTGCTCATAACAACTTAACAGAATGATAGAACAAGCTGAGGGAAAAATCCAACATAAGGTGGATTTCTCTAAACTCATTCCCTTCATGGCAAAGGCATCCAAATAAGAAAATGTACAGTAAGACCACTCTAAGGGTAAACCAAAGGGGCATAAACAAACAGACAACAGAGAGCTAAAACAGGTTCAAATCAGCACATCCTTATCAATGCATAAAATAATCACATCTAATGATAATATTGTCATTTACTAACATACTGTGTTTCTCTAATAAAGTCATCAGCCCTAAACGGTTCATTCTTCTCAAGCTTCTTCTCTCCCTTTTCTCTTCGGTGATTTGGGCTTGCAACATCTCCGTGACTCTGCAACAGAGCCACAAGCATGTGTGCACCAGGCTCCAGTTTGCGCTCCTGGTCCAACACCAGAAGAAAACATGTAGTCCTAGTATCACGTCCTCCTACAGACATTGCTGGAGAAGTGGAGCAGCCAACAGACAAGGTCAAAATGGCCTTTCTGAAGAAACTGCGGAAAACTTCAGACCCTGGAAGGCTCAAGGCATTCCTTGAATAATTATCCTCTTGTCCTGCTGCATGATCCGTAGCTTTCAAATGCCTAAATCCAGTCTTTAGGCCAAAATGGAGTATTACATTATCACAGGCCTTTCATTTCAGCTATTTTTCCTGTAGTGAATGAATCTTCTGGAAGTTTCTAAAACACGTTGTTGCAAAACAAAGGACATCTAATAGTAGTCACCATTTTGAAACATCATACTATGCCTCACTTTCACAAAAGCATAGTACTTTCAGATCTCTCCAGCTTTCAACAACTGGCTGCTCCAAAATCTATTCAGTTAAAGAACCCTTCAAACGTAGTATTTTTATCACAAGTAGGGAACAAACCTGTAGACAAAATTTGAAATACCTGCACACCTTCCCTTCTCCCCTTTTTTTGATGGAGAGGGGAAATAAGGCAAGTCAAACAGACTAACTTCTCTAAATTCTAATCCCTCTCTAGGCCTTGAATCATCGCTAATTTAGACCTTTTCTAATTTCACTAAATAAAATGCAATCATTCATGAAAACTTCTTAGGCTAGCGAAAGATGACAAATTTCAACACACATGAGCAGTTGAATGGAATAGGGGAAGTTACCAAAAGCCTAGAACAGAAACATGTTAGAGCCTTCACTGGTTCCAGACAGCACCATGCACTGAACATGCCTGATACAGGCTGTCCAGAGGCAGTATTGCAAAATCTTGGTTGCACAAATCAGAGGTGAGCACAAACACAGTGTGCTTTTATTTTTCCTCCCTTTCCAGTTTAGAGATCTCTCCTGGGTATACAAAGAATTCCCAGGGCAGACACTTTGTGTCACATTAAATTACATTAATTTGACAACAGCTATCTGTTCTGCTGCTTCACTCCGCGTGCATTATCTGCCCACGAGCGTCCATTTATGTCTGTTTACAAAAAATAATAATAAGGCTAGTAGCAAAATAAATCTTCTGGAACCATACGTGATGCTATTAAGCTTACAGACTTACTAACGGAACCTTTAAGGTGGTTTATAGACGCATAAGATGCATATTGACTTGAAAGATGCCCTCTGAGAGTTTGTCCTACACAGTCTCTTTTGTAGTGAGGAAAATGACAAGTACTAGCAACGTAAAATACCGAGCTACTCGGTATAGCATAGACACCAAGAGCCTGGGGTGACCAGGGAAATCACGGACAGATAAATACTTGTATCTTTTTTACAGTTTGTTTACAAGCCAGAGATAAACAACAAATTTTCTCTTTCAACATTCCTCCATTTTCCAATCCACCAGATCCAGGAACCTCCTGCCCCAGTACCCAGCTGCTCCAGAAGCATAAACAAGATATAATGGCTGTTGTGAAGGAATACAGCAAAAAAGCACCCCCAGATATTCCTTAGTTTTACAAGTAGAGCATAACTTCTGCCCTTGAGCAGGAGGAAGAGGTTTAAAAGAATACTGAAATGTCCTTAAATAATCAATTTTAAACACACACACAAATCTTGCAATGTTAAAAGACGCTCTGAATCTGCTTATTACAGCTGGCTTACAGTGCCCTTCATAGCTTCATAGAATTGCAACAGAATCACACAACAGAAATCCATTAGGTCCACATATGCTCTGCCAGCACAGCGTTGTTCCCTACTGTATAACTTCTCCCAAGAATGCTGTGAGGATTAATTCATTACAGCTTGTGCCATGCTCTGAAAGCACTCAGTCTACAGAAGAGCTAAGAAAATTATTAGAGAGAGGACAATCAAACCCTGGTGATCTTCTCTTTATCCCAGTGGGCCTTATATGGAGCAGCAATTTAGCCCAACAAAGGGAACAAATTCAAAACCAAATTCAATACAACAAATGTGAAAGTGTCATGATAAGAATGCAGTCACACAGGACACAAGACTCTTTAAAATGGTTATTAACTTCTAGTCCTTACCTAATATTGACTAATGCGTGGGTCACCTTGCTTGCAGGCTCTTTCCATTGACCAGCATTGGTAGACAGCCTTAGAACTGAAAGGAAAAGACAATTAACAGTGCTGGCACAGAACTGGCATTTTTCTAATCCAAAATGTCAAAAAAATCTGCTTTGGCGAGACAGCAGTGTGGGAACCACATCAAAACAAAGGTCATCTTTGAAATCATCTGTGATCCAGGGCAGAAGTGCCCTTCAATGCACATCTGAAAGGTAAGGAACACAGAAGAGGTGAACAGAACAAAATAATGGCTAGCAGACAGGAAGCAGAGGGGATAGAAGAGCCTACATCCTCCTAACTGCTTTTATCACCACATATTAAAGTTCATTTTCCCCAGAAACGGGGCAGCATCCCTGGTCAATGATACCTTTTATTCCACACAGCATCATTCTCCTCCGGCTCCTATTACAATGTATGCAAGGTTCTATCTGAGCTGGGCTACATCCTGCAATTTAAACCCACCCAGCAGCGATGGATTCTCTACCTCCCCATTTATCTGGAAATGTAGAGAGGAATTACACACCAGCCTAGGGAAAAAACACTCCCTGTAGGAACAAGGGTGTTGTTCTGCTGCACAGATGGTCTCTGACAGACTTGGGAGCAGATCTGAAAACATTCTGCAACAGGAAGAACTTCTAGGGAATCCAATTCTTTTCTGCCAGAGTACCAAAAATATTTATTTAGGTCAGAATATGTAGTGTTTCTATGGCGGCAGTTACCTGCACGTCTCTTCACAAGTACCAAAACAGTAACAGATCCTGTAGAAAATGTTTGGATTAATTTCCATATTGCCTAAATAGAGAGAATTTTCTATGAATTTGTAAGGAGAGGATTTTCTGGAGGTTACATTCCACAAGGAAGGTTCACCCTCAACATGAAGGAACAGCACATCACCCAAATTTAGCATCATCTAGAAACACAGATGCTATGAGTGAATCCATAAACAGAGCAGCTGCATACTTATGCCTATTATCACATGAGAGAAGCTTTCAGTCCTGCAGATCTGGATGAAGTTCAGATTCAGGACAAGAAAAATAAATTAATAAAACCCAAAGCAATTAGATTCCGTCTCCACTCCCAGCACCAAAAGTTTCAACCACATTAACAGGGAAGCTGAAGGGTAGAGTAGCCTTCTCATTTGTGTTAACAAATGCCCCAGGGCTAGGGGACAAGGGTGACTGTAGTCCCTGTGAGATGGATTGACAAGCAAAAGGAAACCATCAGGCATCTGGTTAAACTGTGGCTTTCATTAACTTGAAAGTGCTACCTCCTCACTTCCTAGTGCTACTCTTACATGTCACCTGCAGAAAAAAAACCAATGATGTCAGCTCTGGATAACATTATTTTGTCAAACAGTAGGTATTATACTTGAATATCTGAAGTAATGTATTCAGAGAGGGTTTCCATTAATTCAAAGGAGTTTGCTTCGTGTAGCAGGAAGAAAAACATTCATGTGAGAAATGAATTGTTTCAACACGTCAGATGTGCCTATTGCAGCCCAACTAAGTATTTGAGTGTGTTATTCTTCCATTCCACTTTCCTTCAGCTTCCACACAGGACAGATTTGAAAAATTGCTAGCTAGTAAAAGTGCCTCATTTTACTAGCTGCAATTCTTGGGAGTAGGAAATGGGTTAGCAAAAAATCTTACATGCTCAGAGGGCACAAAAATAGCCAAGTGATCCCTTACATAATGGATGAAAACAGTAGGAAGTTGGTACAAAAGGGCAGTTCATTTTTGTTTGCAGTTGTAGGGAGTATTCAGGTAATTTTATTTAGGTGATGATGGTTCTCTCCCATGTCAGAAGAGGGCTGTGGCCAACTGTCTCCCTCCCACTGCCTTTCAACTCCCATTAAATGCTTATATTAACTCCCGCTGTTCATTGGGTGATCACACTGAGAAGGGAGCAGGGAGTGAAGAAAGGTTCTTCTAGAAGAAAGCAAACAAAAACTATAGGTATCTTCTTTTCTTCAGAACTTCAAGCGTCCAGGCACTATACCAGTGCTGCTGCAGGCTCCTGTGTGTACACCACCTGATTGTGCCTCCATGCATTCCTTGCTCTCCTTTTCATTCCTCTTTTCCCTGCTGAGTGTCGCTTGGTGGCATTCCAGCATGCCTCTCTCTCTTTGAAGGGTGGCAATTTCTCCCTGTTTTGCCAGTAGGCACATTCTTGAGTCCAGTGACTGGCTTGTCATTACAAGCAGGTTTGTGAGGGCTGTTTTTTTGGTTTGTTTTGGCAATGAGTGTAAGAGATGTGATTTGTCTAGCACAGCAAGCTTCTTGCTATAAGTTTCTCAAATTCTTTTCCAAATTCTTGTTTGCACTGAGTTTCTCTGTGCTGGCTGATTCTGCAGCACGTACCTGCATTCTGACTTGAAACTGTTGAATGCAATAGATGTAAACTACACGAAAATGCGTGAAATATCACATACCCAGTTGTGCCAACAAATTTGTATTTCCAACCACAGTAAGCAGCTGTTAGAGAGGCAATGAGCCTGTTCCCATTTTTTTTCTGACTAAAAAAATTACACCTTTAACAAGTTTATCCCCCTCTCAATTCTTAATTTACCAAACACATCCTAGTACACAAAACATGTCCACTCACCAAGACACATGAGTAGCAGGTGGATGGAAAACACCTGACATGAACACCCCTCCACCACCACCCACACTTCGAGTCAACAGTAGTCCTGACCACTCAGGAGGTACTCACCCATAGAATAAAGGTTGTCAAAATTCTGATGCATCCGAATGATTTCATAATACAGCTCATCATAGCTGCTGGGAGTAGGGAGAAAGGTGTCTCCGTAAGTGATGAACATGTTGAACAGGTTCACAACCTATACAAGGAAGTGAAAAGAAGTTACAACAGGAATATTTACTCAAAATCTATTCTGCAACAAAACCAACACAGACTACATCCAAAACCTTCAAAGAAATAGCTTGCAGTTGCATTGCACAATATTACATCATTTCATTGTTTTATGTATTATTTGCATTATTATACAGAAGAGACAGAAAAGAAACTTAAATACTATTGTATCTGGGGCCAGGAAAGCACTCTAATGGCCACAGAACAAGAAAAAACACTACCAATCTGGAAAATTAAACTAAGCCTGTCCTCACATAAGCTTGTTTATTTCAATGAGCAGACCCCACAGTGAGTCCAAACACTGCCCTTTCCAAACATCAAGTGAAACCAACCACAATGATACTCGTCCACTTTGTGGTCTTGTTCTGATATGTCCTTACTAGCCCAGAAATCCTGGATTCTTTCATAAGATTCATTCAAATTTAAGTTGTTTAAAATAAAAAGATTTGCTTTGTCTGTACTTACCATAAGAGCGAGGGTGAAGATGTTGTGCTTGGCCAGCAGCACAGTCTCATTAGACATGAGGAACTTCAATAAATTGATCAAAGCTAGAAGAAAATTATGTGTATTTTTTAAATAAAATTAAAAGCAGAACCACTCTCAACAAGTCACTTAAATATAGATATATTTTCCTTATCTAGCATAAACCAACCTAAATGCCAGCTGCTCACCTCTCAGAAATACATCAATCTACACAGCATTTTTTGTTTGTTTGGGTTTTTCCTGGCTAAAATACTGTGCTGGACAGGTAAGTGACAGCTATTTCACTGTCCCACATTTATTCTCCTTCACTGACTTCCCAATCAAATCTGCTCAGGCTCAGGGTAAGTCTGTTGTTGGCTTTGACAGTTCATGGGAGATTTTTCTATCTGCTAGATCCTGAAGTGAGCTTTGGGCTCGGAGATTCCAACTGTCTCACTTCTGCTTCATACATCACCAACATGATGTATGCGCAGTCAGCCCCAAACTGTCACTCTTGTTGATATATGCAGTTAAAAAAACCCAAAGTAACAAGAAAAAAAAAACCCAAACAACCCACAGCATAGCTTTTCTGTAGCTCTGTGTCAATGCTGCTGCAATGGTACAAGGAAGGATGTAGCACTTTATTGTGTCAGTTATCTAGGGCTATGCAGTAGAGATTACAGATCTGGTTCACACTTGTTTAAAAAACAAACATAGCTATAACTGCTCAAAATCAGCTAGCAATAGTGGGAATTAACAAAAAGAGCTTTAATCAAACAGATTTTAAACAACTGTATTCCGTGCACTTAATAAAATGGAAAGGTCTTTATCTTGCTTTTTCTAGTTCTTGAAAATTTAAAAAAGGAAAGCTATTTTCTTCTGCATTACCCAGGACTGCTCTCTGCATTACTCTTCAGCTGCTCAGCACTGAAAGCTGATGCCTGCCTAACAGATTCTTAATATACTCCGCTCTGAAGTCAACAGATGTCAAGGCTTAAAACATCTGAATTAGATGGCCTGCAAAGGCAAGCTGGAATGCAGACTGTTTTAAAAAGGTTCTTAATTACCTAGTAATTGGTACCTGCACCTAACAGAGTAGCACCAGGTATTACTCCAATCTCTTACAGATATAACCAGAATTTGTAAATCCATTCTTCCCCCCACCATTGCACAACTGCCACACACTACACAGTAACCTCTGAGAAAACCAACTCCAGTTTGGGAGAGCCCAGTAGAAAATACAGAAAAGACCAGTCATCTACAGGCTATAAAATAGGAGGAGATAAAGCACAGGGAACGGGAATTAGGTAAGAGCAACGTTTAGATACACACACCACCTCCCTCCCCTTTCAGGATTACAAAATATTCACAAAAGGTAAACCCAAAAATCCTACAGTAAAAAGACAGATGTGAAGAGACTGGTAAGATTTGGAAGGAAACAAAATTGTTAGATTCTGAATAGAGTCCTTCTACTCTACTACCTTCTAATGCTAGAAGTTCACCAGGAGTGTCAAAAGTTTATATATGTCCCCCAAAAGGGAAGCCTACAGCCCTAGTGTGGATATTTACTCATCGCAGACATAAGTTACTTCAGCTTAATCTACCAGATGGTGGCTTGATGCTGAAACTGCAAACCAGAATGAACAAAAAGTTCTCTGTAAACTCCAGACACACAAGTGATTTATCTTTCAGAGCTATTCCAGGATTTAACAATCAGCAGCAGCATCTCTCCCTTCCATGACAGCAGCCCACCTCATGAAGCAGATATATTAACACCTCTTCAATCCAGCCACAGAACTCCTCATATCATCACCACACTGAAACTCCTAGGACCAAAAGCACAGCCTGGATTCCACAGTAATCCAGCTCTGGAAATACTCCCGTCAGATATTTTTCTGTAAACCAGCCGTTTAAAAACAAAGAAGTAGCAGGTACAGATGGGCTCTCCACTGGAGCAGAGATCCAGCTAAAAACACGTTGCCAAGGTAACCAAGCCTCCACAGCAAAAAAGTAGAGTCTCCCGCAGTCAGTGCCTTGGACTGGAGACAGCTGCCCTGCGTTTCTGTCACAGCAGCTTATTGGCCATCTATTTAATAGTTATAAGCATGGGTTTACCTCTTTCCCAGCCACGAAATCCCACACAGCCACATCTTGTGACCAGACACTGCTGTTCAACTAATAGCAGCTGGGGCTTCTGAGAGCAGAGTGGCAGAGCACTGGATTTCCTGTAACAAGTGGTGTGAAGACCATTGCTTTTCAGTCTTTCCCCAGAACCCTGCTGAAAGGCTTTTGCCAGTGGGTGATCACACAGCACGACAAGAAACTGATGAACATCCAAACACAGTAAACATGAAAGCTGCCTGTGATGGGGAGACACTGTGTTTAGAAGAATGAGCATTACCATTGTTTGTCCAGAGCACGAGCACTCCCTGACTGCCAGAGACAAGTACCCTACAACTGCCCACTGCAGTATTTCTCAGATACCATCCTGAACTATAGAGCACTTGCACTGCTCTATGCTGGTGATAATACTTGAAGGAGAACTACTGTTCTGTTCCACCCCAACAACAGCTCCTACATTTGTTCTAACCGTTTTGGTGAATCTGCTCATGTTTAATTTTCCTATTCCATTTAGAAAGAAGACAGAAGATTACCACTGCTTGAAATGAATTGCATCGCATCATAGCCCACTCACAGCCGATCTATGCTGTTCCTTCCCTAAGAACTAGGAAGGAGAGGGACGTGCTTCACATGAAGAAACGACTCAATGCTCGTCTCAAAGCTGGTCAGAAGAGCCAATCCACCAGGTTTACAGTCACTGTGTGAACTGCAGAGTCAAATTTATCCAACTGTTTGGAAACCACACATTCCTAAAGAAGTTGCAGCGCTCCTAATTAGGATATACACTACATTGAGCTCAAAGAGCAACCCATCTTTTTCCACACCAGCACATTCTGCACCAGCATCTGCTCAAGTGGCTCTAAGGAACAAGAACGCTGTGGAAAATGAACCCTTAAATTAATGGCTATATATATCTCTAATTTGCTTGTAAGGCAGACCTCATACTGAAAATGAAGACAGCTATGCCCTGGAGTTTTCAGGATTGACAACTTTTAGATCCAGCTTCATATGCCCAGCACCCTTCAGTGACAATTACACACACAAAATAAACCTTTAGAGCAAAGGTCCAACTGGCTGGATGCTCCTGCCCTGAGCTCCAACAGGGCACTGCTGCTACTACTCCTGAGTAACCTGAAGCCAAGCCAGATGTGTCACTTTTTCCCTGCTGCAATCAACTGTTCACCTCTCACATCCAATCTGCAGGCTGCCCTCTCACACCAGCCAGGAAATTATCTATGTTTTTTCCCCAATGGGAGAGCAGTTCAATCTCTCAGCTGCACAGGCAAACTGTGGCCCTTGCTTGGGCTCAGACACATTATCCCAATTTGTGCTCCAGGATTTAACAGTAATGGATGGTTTGGGCTTGAAATATATTTCAACATTAACTGTAAAACAGCACCATTTTTGCAATAGCCTCTAGAACCCTTACCCCCTCAACACCCCCACCCCTCCCCCAAAGATGTCTTTGGCATTCCTTCCCAGGACACAGTACACCTGCTATGGTGAGTCTTGAAACATCCACAATACTACAGTGTCACTAGAACTTGTTTAGCAACAAAATCAGGAGGCTGTAACTAAACTAAACTAGTAGCCATCAGTATCTGCATGCAAGCTCCTCATTTTGTGACCTCAGCTGAGCACACTGGCTGTGCCTCTTAAATCAATGAGAACACATCCTTGAACACCTACATTTACAGCCTCAAAACCAAGTAGAAAAGCATGTTGAGTGGACACTTACATTGGACATGAAGCCGTATGATGTGCTGTGAGTGATGTAAAGCATACAGGTTGGTTTTTAGGCAATTTTCTCTCCCAAGGGTTATTACAGCCGAAGGATGAAAAGGGACATCACCAGCTTTTACAGATACCCTCCCTGCTTTTAAAACTGAAATGACTGCAGTGAAAGAAGCTCTTAGCTCCTCTGCTGCACAGCTGCTTTTAAGGGCAGACACTTTCCTTTATCAGCTCTTGTGGCCAGTCTGTGTGCTGAGGAGCAACAGTATTCCTGCTCAGTTATTTGCTACCTTTCTTCAAGCCAATCCACTGTGATAAGACTGTGGGCAGCCAGCATCTCTTCTCTTCTTCCAGGAAGGCGGTAATTCTTGCTACAGACACATGCCCTTCTCTCTCTCCTTCCCCTGTTCCTCCTCCCATAGCAGATTTACCTTTGCTCCCTGTAAGCCTCATTTCAAACAGAAGTATATTCAGCCCGAGCACATTTGGGATTTGCACAGTTTCTGTTCTATTTAGCGTCTCAGTGTTCACTGTTTGGATCACATGTAATGCAACAGGAGCATGGAGGTAGGTTAAGTAGAGAATATGGGGAAAAGAAAAGAAGTAGTACCACCCTTTAGGCAAGTCAGAATGTAGCACAAACTCTGCCAAGAGCATCAGAAGGCTCTGGTGTGTTATTGCACAACAGAGCAGAAGAGAACAGCCTTGAGACACACATCAATGAGAGCTTGGATGGGTTGAGCACAGTCCGGAGGCCTCTGTCACTGCATCAGCTGCACTTACAGGTCAAAAATCTTCTAATGGTGCATATAATGGCCCTCGACTAAGGAGCAAAGGAGAAAGAGATGTGAGGGCTCCTCAGCTGCAGTATAACATCAATTAACAGGATCCTGCAATCTACTAAAATCCTCCCATTTTGTACTCTCCAACTCTCAGGGCACACTGGGAAGAACAGTGATTTTTCTCATTGCCTCTCGAAGTTACCATTGTACCAACAGTGTGTTCTGTAGTCTCCTTTTAGAGTTTCAACTGGCAACCCCCTTAGGAGGATCCTCACTCACATGTCACTACAGGGCAGCTGATAATGCCATTTGGGCAACACTTCCATGCTGCAGAGAAATCTTCCACCTAGGAGTGCTGCTGCAGCACAGTAACCACCCTGGACCTCTTACAGCCATTCTGTTCACATATACATACTCTCAAGGCAAGGTCCGTACCACTCTGGCACATG